TTGGTTTGGTCATTTAATACATGTTTCTAAGACATAATATAACTTTAAATTAAAAATATTTGATGAAAAAGCTTTAAATTTTACTTTTTCACCATAATGAAAGAAGTTAAAAATGCTGATGGAGGTTTGTCTCTTTACAGAAATATCTAATTAATTTTAAAAACTTAAACACCATAGGAATGATCTAATAAATGTTATATTTTAAGAGATTATATACAGTCAACGACCAAAATTATGTGGATATTTTGATTTGTCAAAATTAGGCAGCTTGATCTTTACGTGATTATATAATTAAAAACAATACGTTCTTTTTTACTTATAATGATAAATAATACCCCAAAACTTTTCTCTTTTAAGTAAGTTCATGTCAAATATGAAGTACTTACTCCCAAAACTCGTGATGCTATTGCTTATATTATAAATGTGAACAGTTAGGTTATACCATAACTAAACAGCTAGGGTGCAATAAAACAGCTATTTATATTATTCTTAAACGTCTTCGCGAAATTCAGTTCTTTAACACCAACTCTACCACCTTTAGTTTGAAAGTATTTAAAGGATGCATGGAAAGATATTCTTCCAGAATATTGCAAAAAACTGATCAATATTATACTGCAGCGAATTGTCGCAAATGAAAATAGGATTAATTATTAAATTTTTTATAAATCAATAAATAAAAATATATTTGTATTTATTTTGTTAAAATATTATTTTATTTTATTATGTGTATATAATTTTTTTTTTGATTTTAAAATATTCGCATAATTTTGGTCGTTGACTGTAATCTAAATAATACAGTCTGAATATCACATATAATTTAATATTTTATTATTTTCTTATATCGCTTTTATATTCTAACTATATTTTTAGGTTTTTCTTGATATTTGTGTTTTTTATACTAATATACTTTTATTATCATAATATAATCTAAATACCATACACATATAATCTAAATACTACACTTTTCTTCTTGTTTCTGAGTCATTTACATGTTAAATTTTATAATAGAGTTGTTGACCCTCTGTAGCTATTTGGTTATCTAGTTTTATGTTGAGAATGCTGACCTTCTGCGCTTAATTGAATACTAAATTCTATATTAGAGTGCTTACTCTTTACGCCTATTTGGTTGCCTTTCTAAATATCAAAATATGGTAAAAAAATATTATATTGACGAATTCTGCTATATATTTAAATACCATTAATGATCAGAGTGCTTCAAAAAAAATTAGAAACATTGTTAATATTGTTAACGATCAAAATAAATTAGCAGAAGATCTGGGATCACCCTAGGTTACTCTGTTAAAAATAGGTCAGAACCTATTACAAAGCAATCATCATGCCAAAGCACCTTCAGAAGTATATTATTTGCGACCTAACTATTACACTAGTATAAGTATGTCATTTTCGTATTCTGAAGTTTAAATTATTATCACATAATTCAAAAATAGTGAATAGTATTCACGGTTTTTCTGAAAATTAAATACATAATTATATGAGATTTTATTAGATCATTATTACAAAATGAGTAAATATAATATTTATTTTATTTATCTTATAAAGTATATTCATATTTCGTAAGTATTTCTATCATATTTTTATCTTATCTTAATCAAATATAGAATAAATATTAGGCATAGTAATATCTATGTGAGTATTATATATAAAAAAAGTTTAATTCACATAACTTTTAAGGAATTATGTCTGACTCATTTGATTACTAAGATAAAGTGATTTTGAAGTATATAATTTAAAAGATTGAAGTTAATACCATTTTACAACCCAACTATTGCCTATTTGTTGCTGGTATATGTATACCAATTTTATGTCTTAGGACAGAAATTTTACTAGATCACTTCTTAGGTCAGAGTTTATTATAGGAGAAAGCGTTCTTTTTTTATTTTATCTTATTTCTGTATTATCTTCCCTAGGTATCCTAAATGTTCTAATAAAATAAAGTTCTAGAAAAAAAAATGAATTTTTTCTATGAAATCTTTTCAGTATATGTATCAATATGCTATATGTATGCTATGAGTATGCTATATTTTTGTTATATCCATAAATAAAAAAAAATAAAAAGTAAAGAAGTCTGAAATTTTTTAGATCACTTAGGCCACCTAGGCTAGACCATTCAAGAAACTATTCTAGCATCCTAATAAAGTTAATTTGCTATTTTGCTTCTGCCTCTGAAAGTCAAAAATTTCCTAAAGCAAATTTTTCTAAAGCAGATTTTTCTAAAGCAGATTTTTCTAAGACATTTAGCTTCTTTCTATGATAATATATTTTCTAATGATACTTATCTACATGTAAATTACACATATTATGGGTTGAGGTAGTTGGTTTTCTACATTATTTGCAAGAGTTTTGTTGACGTATTTTCCAATAAATTTTGCATCCTTCTTCTCAGGTACTAGTTCATTCACATATATTCCTTTCATTAGAAAGATATTGGCAAATAAATTCAGCTTTCTTTCAGATTGGATATCACAAAATATTCCTAATACAAAAATAAAAGCGGAAACAATACAGGATTATCTTCCTAATCCTATTTGATTTATAATTGATCATACTTTCTCATGGCCTATTGAAAAAATTGATAGGCTATACTGTATAAATTTATATTAAGAATATATTGCCTGGTGTGAAAATAATGGAGAAAAAACATTTGCTAATGCTATTTTAAGAAAGAAGTTTTCACAAATTGGTATTGACAGAACACGTTTACAAAATAATAGAAAAAGAGAATATCACTATATTTTTAATCGCTCTAAAATCATAGCTAAGCTTTGTGAATCTAACCTAAAAGATATAGAAGATTTTTCTGATATACCTCAGCCAGAGGTGCTAAAGGCAGATGAGTTGCCTATCAATGAGACCACAGACATATCCATATTCAATGTGTCAACCCTGCATTACCTAAAAAGAATACATCTTTATCTAATACTAGAAAAGATAAGAAAGCAGATAAACAGGACGATTTGACTCAAGCTTTTTTTGATTATGTAGTAGAATAATCAGAAATTCCAATCACCTCCATATCAGGAACTTCTGAAACTACTAAGGCTTCTAAAACACTTGAGCCAGTAAATAATAAATTTGAGACTAGCAAGCTTTCTGAATCTATCAAGCCTATTAGCAAAGTAGTGGATATGCCTCTAAAAGAAACAAGTGACAGCGTGATTCTTTTAAGCCTATCAATTAAGTATTATCTGCTATACTCCTAGCTAGATAACAATGTGAAGAGTGTCTCAGAAAAAAGGCAGTCAAACTCAGTGAGAATCTAGATGTCTTCATGACTATTACTAAAAAAGACAGGCTCAATTCCACTACATTTTGTGATAGAATAAAATCTGATTCACGAATGTGTGCTTAGGCTATAGAGCTAGAGGATGATTCTAAAGAATATATGAACATGATGGTGTGAGAAAGATTAATAGAAGAAGAAATAATCTGTTGTTCTTTCAAAGATAAGAAAGTCACATTCTTCTGGCTTGATACTAATAAAAAAATGAAAAAAAACAATAAGCATACTTCAGGAGAATGGTATGCTTTGGTAAAGAGCGAATAAGAGTGGGTTAATTAATATTAGTAAGAATGGGACTTTCGTTCTTTACAATTAGGCGATATATAATTTCAAATTATTACAATACAGAACCTCTATAATAGGAAGTTAGAAAATTGTAAATAAAATTTGAACTAGTAATCAGATTTCAATTAAATAAAAAAAATTAAATTTTATTTGTAAAAAGGAATTGGTTTAAAAATTTTTTAAAATTCTCAATTTTATTAGATTATGTAATCATTACGTGATTATAATATTAGCCAATCAAAAGTTAGAATTCAATATATTATGTAAATTATTTATTTTATTTCATCATAAATGCTATCAGATACATGATGATGAGATTTATATTTTTTAGCAGCAAATTTTGCCATTTTTTCAGTAATACCTTTTTTATAAATATTCATATACCGCCATGATTTTTATGCATATTTATGAATTGTAATTAAAGGAACTGAATTTAAAGCTTTAGGAACCGTTTGTTACAATCCTGTCCATGTATAATTACAATATTCTCTTGTGTATTTCTTTGCCACACCCCAATACATTTCTATATAATTTAACTCATAATGATATTTAGGGTAAAAAATGCATTGAGATTTTTGTTCTAAGAAATCTGGCTGTAATGATAAAATTCAACATGTATAACAATCTACTCTATTCACATCTATAACTTTTGTTTTTTCTTTACATAGTTGACAATCAGCCAATAAATTATTTTTCCATAAACCTCTTTCAATTAATATTTGTTTCATACCTTTTTGTTGATTTGGATATTTTAAATGATTATGAGGAAAAACCATAAATTGAAAAGTTTGATTTGGTCTATAATAAGTTAAATGCATATATGATTGTTTTCCTTCTGGATTCATATTCATTTTAAAAGTATTTTAATCCATCTTTTGCCATTTCATCATGATTGGTACTATTATCAAATACAAAAACAGCTATTGCATTAGAATATAATATTTCAAAGGTTAGAATCGCTAAATTTATTACTTGATCTAAAAGATGATCTGCAGTCTACTAACCCTCATCATTTTTACTCGAATGTAAATATTTTCTTGCTTCTTTAGAAATATTTGGATAATTTGTAACAAGTTCATCAGTAAGTTTAAGTGTCCAATAGTTTCCAATAAAAATTCACTAACCATTATAGATTTGCCTTGACTTTTTTTTCTAAACGGTAGTTCATCTAATGAAGCCTAAACAATTGGATGATCATCATTAGCATAAAAAAGGCATTCATCATGTGTTACTAAAATATGTAACTGTTCTTCATTTTTAAGTTCTAGAAGAATCATTTGTATTTCATCACCAATAAATGTTGGCATTAATTTTTTAAATTCTACCATAGTTTTTAAAAATTATTTCTGATATTGTAATATATCTTCACATTCATGTCCATCAAAATATATACCTTTTTTTCGAGATTGAGGAGTTAAACCAACTTATGAAGCCATATTCTTGCTGTTTTTATTAATATTGACCTTATAATACCCATTTGAGGAAAAAGTTTTGATATTATAAATTCTCTATACTGTTGTGGTATTATTCTTCTGCTATTGAAATGAATATATATCAAACTATAATTAATAATATCCTCATCATCAATAAATGATTTTATTTTTTGATGATGACCTTGTAATGAAATAGGTAATGTATTATATTTAATCCAATAATCACCTAATTTACAAATTACTCTAGATCTATAAATTCCTTTACTATAAATTTCCTCCAATACTTTCTCACTTGCCTTCATCTGTGTTAATCCATCTTTTTTCCAATATGTAAAATATGCATGTATATATTGGTATCTTAGGTAATCATATACATTTTGCTTTTTATTATTATTCAAAATAATTTGTTCTAATTTTTGTAATTTTTGATTAAAATCACAATCATTATTGTTTTGAATATCATTATCTACACTTTCTTCTAATTCTTGACATGATATTTCCATCAAATTCAAACTATTTATTTCAACATCCCAATTATTTAAAATGCCTGTTTCTGAATCACCTTTAGCTAATAAATCATCGTCTTTTATACTAGCTGATGAATCATCTCTTACATCAGCAAATGTATTATTATTATCCTTTGTACTAACTAATGCATTATTATTACCCTTTGTACCGACCAATACATTATTATCATCTTTTGCATTAATCAATGCATTATTATCATCCTTTATACTGACCAATGCATTGTTATTATCTTTTGTATCAGTGGATATATCATCATCAATATCATCTAATATATTATTAAATTGTTTAATTTAAATCAATATTTATAAATTAATTTAATAACAATTTGAGTATTCAATAAAAAAAAAATATATATATATATTTACCTGTTAAATCTACAACAAGTTCATCTTCAACTAAGTTTTTCATTGGTTTAAAAAAATTAAAAAAAGAACTTGTTCCCTTTGCCACTACAGTAAAACTTCCTTGTGATCCATATTTTCAATAATGTATTGTAATTGAATTGCCAATATATAGTGCTTTTTTTTTGTTCAATCATCGTAGTATCAGTTCATACTAATTTAAATTCAGATAGGCATTGCATTCTTTGATCTAAAAATTCTTTAGAATCAGAATCACTATCTTCTGAATAAAAATTATCTGAGCCGTTTAATTCAAGAATAAAGTCATTATCATTATCATTCTTATATCATTTATTCAATTTAAATTTACTCATTTTATCACATTTTTGCTTTACAACTTATTTTTTGGTTAATCTTAATGCATGTAATAATGGCATAATGAATGAGGATAAACTTTTTCAAAATTTATTAAAATTTATTTGAAAATATGTAAATTTAACAAAAAAAAAATAACAGCAAGCACTAAATTCACATTATACTGAGGGGAATAACTGGAATTCTGAAAACAAAGTTATATCCTGATTTCATCATATTGATTTCAATCGAAATTTATCTTTTTTTTCAGAGTATTACACAAATTGGAATATTTTCAATTTCGGCGCTCATAATTAAATTAGTGTAATTTTATTATGCAAAAACTTTGTTTATCATGCATAAAATTTAAAATCTAACCGTAAAAATGATTAGATTTTGATTCAAATTTTCTAATTCATCAGTTAAAATTTTTATATCTTTATTATTGATGGAGTTATACATGTTTGAAGGTTGAAAATTCTTATTATAAGGATGTTTTTATTATAGAAGTTCTGTACTGTATTATTTTTTTCGCATATCTTATCTACCCATTCACAGTACCTTTCAGCCAATTTTTAAATATATGCAAAACATATTTTGGCTGAATCAGGTGGCCTCAAAGAGACCTCACATAAGTTATATATACTTTCTTTCTCTATCCCTCTGATAGTTTTTACTGACCATAAGATAGTGAAATTACAGAATAATTTTTTTGAATTGAACTTTGCCTACTTAATATAATTTGAATACCACAGATTAATCTAACTATCGCATATATTCTACATACTACACTATGTCTGCAATTACAATCAAGTTTGTTACAGACTACCAACTCACCAATGAGATGAGTATTGAAGAGCTCAATCAGTATATACCAGAAATGCGTAACCTCTTAGGAGATGATAGAGAGAAAAGACGCTAAGCTCATAATCATCTCCAAAAAGTGTATTAATTTAGCAAAGAACAGGCATTCGCATTGATTTCTGACCAGAGAAATAGGCAGTACATAAGTCAAGTACTGATCTTAAAAGAACTAGAATTAGAAGCTGAAGTTAATATAAGCATAATATATGAGAACATTCCAGAAGGCGAGACTATTAGAGAAACTGCTCAATATATTATTTGGGATAATCTTAGTGAAAGAGATGTAAAAGTGATATCTAAAACCTTAGTCGAAATAGCTTTTGATCCTGTAATTGCCTCATCACGTCTCTCCAAGCTTTGAAGAGAATTGCGAACCCTCAATGCTTCAGAAAAAATAATCTCTGCTACCAAGATTCCAGAGAAAACCAGAGCATCTAATAAAATCTAACAGGAATATACTGAGCAACGTAAAAATGAAGAACTTCATTATCTAAACCACTTTTTATTAGAATCAATTAAGAAATGGCTAGATTTGTATGTTGTGTCTAACACACTTGATAAACAGTCCCTAGCTGATATAATGATCATGCTCTGTATCCGCCTTGCTAAAATTAAAAACTTGCGCATAGCAAATGAGTGTATAATTAGATACGCAAAAAACTGAGGCTAACAGGATATTTCTTGAGTGTTTAGATCACTGAAAAAAAATGAGGAGCGAGCAAAACAATTACAATCATTTCTGAAGTATTAAAAGATCTAGAAAAGCCTGGATTAACATACTTAAGTTTATTTTTGAAAAAAAATGAATATATTCCTAAACCTTATAAGCCACTACTCCCTAGTTCTTTGTGTAAATTGGATTAATATTTGCTAGCATAACGCATATATCTAAGAATCTATCAAAATTTAATACTTATGCTAAGGAAGCCCTTCAACATTCGCTCGACAACTATATTTCTTTATCTGATAGATATATTATAGTCAATTACAAAAAGCAGGATCAACCTTATGGTCAAGCAAATCCATTTAATATCTTTGATGAAAATGGTTCCTAAGGAACTAAACTAATTACATATAAGGGTTAGAGAGGGTCTTAGAGGGATCAGGTCGCGAGAACTGATAAATCAGTCTGATATCATTTATTAATTTTATTTTTTTGTTCACCTAAAGATATGTCATATATAAAATAATGCAGAAATGGTAACTGATCAAAATCATTCATTTGATGTAACGAGAGAACAGGAAGTTATCAGATATACAGAGAAATTAGCTCAGATGTTTGGACTAAATGAGCAAAATGTAGAAGTATATAGTGCACTTTTTGGTGAAAATAGGGTACTAAAGAAACAATTGGAAGATTATCATTTCTAACACAACACTTTAGAAAAGAGGGTAAAAAGATTAGAGAGAGATGTAAAGTTCTTAAAGACTGAATTAGAAGATCTGAACGAATATGTAGATAAGGGAAACTGTGATTGATATAATACATGAAATAGCTTCCTTGATAATTAATAAAAAAGCAATGAAAGGGGTATAGCCAAAGAAGGTTAAAATAAAGAAAGTGGAGTATTTTTTCGATTAAAAATACAGCATATATTATTTATGGTGCAATCAAACATCTTTTATTTACTAGAACTATTAGAACAGATTTTATATTTTTAGCAATAGATAAATCTCTCTATCTCACTCTATATGTTTCCTGATTGTGGTATAGATGCGATGCACTTATTCTGTAGAAGTGTATTAAATTGAGAGGAAAAGACTTATATTCTGAACAATCTTTTTCAAATGATTACTGTGCAAAGGATAAAAAAATATAAATTAACTAACCTGTTCTAGTCATGGGTATTAGTCCGTACTAGCTGAATTTTTTACGAAAACTTCATGTTATTGTTGAGAAGAGACCTTCAGAAATAACAGTAATCCCTCTTTAGTAAAATAAAATGTTTTATCCCATATTGATGAATTTCTGTATTACCAAACTTAGAACATCTAAACTTTTAAATATATGTTCTCACATCTTTCTTGACATCTTCTTTTATTATTTCTTTATTAGTATAACTGATAATATCAACATAAGCTTGAATCATGCTTATATCCATTTTCAAATATAAAAGCAAATGGTATTTTTCTTTAATAAAAATTTTTCTGTTGATTTTTTGATAAGATCTTCTCTATATCGATGTAATGTATTAAGGATTAGATTGCTACCAGTCTCAAGTTCCTCCTCAATCGATATAATTTTCTCCACTAAATCTAATAATAGATTACTTGTATTATCAAAGCAAGCAAGTGCTACCACTTTCTTGTTTTGATTCAATTCTGATTTTTATTAATAGATGGATCTGCATAAGACCTCATACTACATTTTCTTTCAGCTATGTGCTTTTGAATAGCTAATATATCTATCTTCTTATATAAAAGCACTTCATATAGTTAATTTTTAAGTATTTCGCTTTGAATAAATTTATGATTAGTATTACTTGTCATAATTGTGTTTATCTCTAGCTAACATATATTCAATTTGTGTCTGGAGTACTGATTATCAACCAGAGTAGTAATCACTAACTTAGAAATATTTGCTAAGTTACAATGCATATACTCATGTGCGACAGAAATGAGCAATGATTAACCTATTTTTCTGATTGAAAATATTTAATCAATCTACTAGTAAAATGTCAAATAATAAGACAGATAAAGGCTACAATGAATTTATTAAAGAATATGAATCGAGATATGAATGGAGTAATGAAGGGAATCCCGATGAGTGAAAATACTAAAATGATTTTTTTTGCACAATCAAAACCTACTGGAAGACAAAGGCAGTTAGGTATTGGAAAGAGAAAATGCTTAAGCAATTTATACATAGTCTGCCTAAAGTAAGAAATCCATTATCATTATTCCATATATTTATATATTCTGATGCTTTCTATCTTTCACATATTTTGAGTCTGATAGAATTGCCATATTATTTATATGAACTTTGAGAGAAAATATGGCCAGACGGTATTGAGAAGTTCTGATGTAGATTGTTTATTTAAGGTGAAGAATCAATAGTGGATTACTGTTTAAAGGCGAAGAAATGTAATAATATCGTCAAACTCTGTAAAGGTCATTTTAGAAGTGAATTCTATAGTGGATTAACACAAGAAAATGTGAGATATATTGCAAAAAATGATTATTATTGTGAATTAGTAGAAATACTTATTCAAGCGGAAAAAGAGTCAGTGACTAGTATTATAACTGGGTTTAAAGATTATATTAGTCAGTCTGGTATTGCTAATCTGAATGGGATACAATACTTATTGAAAGGCATACATTGGATAATTAACCCAAGCAAAGGTAATTCAGAGCAGTAATCTTCAGCTCAGAAGAATTTGCTAAGCTACATTGCATATACTCCTAGAGTTCCGGACGAGTCGAGTTACCTCACGAGTCAGATAAGCCGAGTCGAGTTCAAATCAAGTCGAGTTGGTGTTTTTTTTGACTCGATGATTTGCGAGTC